TAAAAACTCTTAAAATGTTTAGTTATGGAACGTAGGCGGATCGGGATTCCGAGACGGAATAGGATTACGATGTTATTATTCACAGGCTAAAATTCATTAAGTGTTCGGGCCGATGCTTATATAGCCCAAGAATAGTCGCCCAAACCCAAATCAATAATTTGCTGCCCATGGTAGAATTATTGGACCATGCAAAATTCACGGGCTAAAATTCATTAGTTGTTTGGGCCGATACCATATATAGCCTGAAAACAGTAGCCCAAATCAATCATTTGAGGCCCATGAGAGAATCATTGGACCGCCCAAAAAGGTTTAAATAAAAATAAAAAAGTCCAAATCACCCCAAAAGACTAGAAAACTCATATTTCGTTTGGTATGAAATGAAACCATGAATATGGTTTTTTTTTTTTTTTAAGGTCTTTATGTATTTTACAAATATTGAAGATTAAAATAAAGATAAAAACTTCAAATAATTTATTTAAAATAAGTTTTAACACTCAACTAAAATAATAATATAAAATTATTTTTATTATATTTCTTTAATAATTATAACATGAATATGTTGTAAAACACATAAAATTAAAAAGGGTTTTTCTAGTTAGAGTTATAAAATTTAGAAAAGGATTGCAAAAAATTACGATGTTCTGCTAATTAGGATATTAAAAATTATAATAAAAAAACTTAAATGCCTATAATGAATTTTAATTTCCATTTTTCTTATTATAAAAAATAAAATAAAATAATAAAAAAATCATAATTATACTAAATGATTTTTTTTTTTTGGAAAATTAAGATAATTTTATAAAAGAATTTAATCACAATAAATAGAGAAGAAAGACGTACTTCTAATGCTACTATATTTAAAAGAAAAAAACACTAGAAGTGTAGGGTTTTTCTTTTTTCTTTTTTTTAGTTAGAACATTTTCATATCAATTTTTACATATTTTAAAACTACTCTCTAAAAAATCTTAATAGATACCTGCATCAACATGATATGAAATTAATTAAACCTTATTTAGTATAGTTATAATCTTGAATTTTTTATTTTAGTTTGTAAAATTTAAATAATCAAAATAAAAATTAAAAATAAAATTAAAAATTA